TCAGAAGTGTTGTTCCTAGCCAAGCAATCAGGCATCCTCAAGGGTGAACTAAAAAAGTGTATCTGAGGGAGAAAATGAGACACAGGGTCTACAAAACAGCAGGCAGGGCTCTGGAAAACTTGACCTCAGGTTTGGAATTTAACTGATTACTGATTATAAACATACAAATAATAAGAATATAAAAACGCTGCCTGGTAAAGGTGTGGCTCTTTAATAATCCAAATAAGCCACTGGCCAAGGCATCAGTGGTTTAACTTTTGTTCTTTAATCCTGTTTCTTTGAGTGGGATACACACTTCAATCCCACAGCAACAACACATGTTCGTACTTGGATTTTTAGACGAGTTGTTTTCCCCCCTTACACAGCTCTGAATTCCCCAAGTCTCTCCTGAGTTTAACTGGGTTGTATTTTTTTGCGATACGCGGGCCTCTCACTGTCGTGGCCTCTCCCGTTGCGGAGCACAGGCTCCGGACCCGCAGGCTCAGCGGCCATGGCTCACGGGCCCAGCCGCTCCGCGGCATGTGGGATCTTCCCGGACCGGGGCACGAACCCGCGTCCCCTGCATCGGCAGGTGGACTCTCAACCACTGCGCCACCAGGGAAGCCCTGGGTTGTATTTTTTTAACTCAAGGAAAATATACCTGAGCCAGTAAGAGGGGTTTTCACAGGCAAAGTTCCTGAGGAGTTTGATTTGAGGACAGTCTTCTGGCAAACTCTACATTCCTGAAGCCTCCATCAGGTATGCTGCCCAGAAGCCTTCTGTGCCTTTCAGAGGAGATGGAGGGAAAATGGTCAGACAGTGGGAAACACGACTGTGACTCTGAGAAATACAAATGTGGGTGGACTGCTCTGATGGCCAGGAAGAGACAGGCTGCTGGATCCCTGTGAAACCACCCTTCTTTTGTCCTCCTTCACCTTTTAGGAAACACTGGTTAACAGAGAGACCGAGAGGATGTGGCATTTTCTATTTAGCTACCTCTGCTCCTGGGTCATTATGATTCTCAAAGCTGCCCCAACCCTAGGCCACGATTCACAACATTTCTTTTATGGTAGGTTTCTTAGGTCTGATCTGTTAGAAATCCTGGTGATTCTTTCTGCTCACCCTGTGCTGTCTCATATGGGAGTCATGAGCCCCGTGTGGCTATTTAAACGTAAACTAATTGAAATTAAATCACATTTAAAATTCAGCTCTTAGTCTCACTGGCCGCAGGTCAAGTGCCTACTGACCATATCGGACAGTGCAGATAAAACATTTCTATCATTGTAGAAAGTTCTACTGGGCAGTGATGTTCTAGTTATCCAAGATAGAAGGTGAAAATATCAGGTTATGGAGGGATCAGCCAGGAAACTTGTACTCTCGTTGCTTCAACTGATGAACACGGCAGTCACCTGCAGTGACCTTATCTAAAGTACATACATACGGACAGACAGACAAAAGAGCACACCATGCCTTGCGAAAATTCTAGTAATCATCATGTCACTTTTAGTGTCTCTTTTAGAGGATGTTATTTATTTTAAGACATCATTTTTATTAGTACACTGTAGTACAAGAGACTTTCCATGTCAGGTTGAGAGAAGCTGGTCACATGATTTACAAACAAAACTTTTTTTTTTTTTAAACACTGATATTCTGGTGTCACTTTGAAATCAGCCAAGATGCAGTGGGTCTTAATAAAGCAATGGACCTCCAAACAGATTGCAAAACAAGAACCAGTAAGTATCAGCACAGAGACATCACATTAAAAGGAAAATAAAGCAAATGAAAAGGGAGTTTCAAATACCAGGTCACAAAGGGGCAATATATCTTCAGAGAGGTATTGAAATGTGTGTGTGGATATGGCCCGGATATATACAAACATCTCTCCATGTACAGAAGCAAATGCAGAGACTGTCCACACCTCTAGGCAGATTTGTTAGTGATGGATAACGATTAATGAACGCAGGGAGCAATATTTCACCATAATTTGGTCATTTATCAGGGATTATATATTAAAAATCCACATTTAATTCAAAGACCTTGTATTTAAACATTTCCAGTGTTTTTTTTGTTTGTTTGTTTGTTTGTTTTACATTTTTAAAGCAACAGGAAGATATACAACTTGCAAAATGTAGGCCTTTACATTTCATTTTCTCCAAATTTTTTTTCCAGTTCAAACCTGTGGCAATTAGCAGCTTTAGTTATGCTTGCTCCAGCATGTTGGACATTCGGCCAACCTTCACTCAGGATCATTTTCATTAATGTACAGACCAAAGAAATAAAACAAACACAGACCTGGCCTAGAATGCATAGACTAAAAAAAATGACATCCCATGTTTTCCCATTGTGTCTCCTGAGACGTATGTTAAGATGGCAAAAGAGTTGCTTGGTTGCTCTTGTGAAATTCACAGTGTTTTGCCTGCAACACATATACATATATATATATATATATATATATATATATATATATATATATACATATATATATATATATATATTTTTTTTTGCTTCGCTTTGTGTCTGTGATGAATGGAGCAAAGAAATATATATATAAATAAATAAATACTTAAATAAAGGTAAAAGAAAAAAAGGAAATAAATACAAAAATTAAGGATATTCGAGAACCTTTGACTTATAGCAGCAGTGATTCATTCCAACCCTGACAAATGAGAAAATACCCCTTCATATGCTGTCATATTTTGCTACAAATCCCTTCCACCACAAATTCTTTAGAATAACATTTGCTGTCTCAACCTCAGAGTCTCAGCATCCCACCATTACGAACTGTGAGGAAACTGCTTTAACTGCTCACTTAGCCACCTGAGTAGTTGGGTCAATGGCCATCCCCCTAGTGAGATTTTCTGTAGCAGTGATATAGGGCCAAACCGAAGCTCCACATTGGAAACAAAAGTCCTCAAATGGGAAAAAAAGAAAAGAAAGAGCAAGGGAATTGAGACTATGTGTGTCTGCAGTCATTTATTTAATTAGATACACAATTTAATGCTATTGGCATTATAGAAGGTCCAATTTACAAAAGGGTAAGTTTAAAAATAGAAGTCTATTCCTGACTTCTATCCCCTGACAACAGGGGATCCTGTTGTCATGGCTCTTTGCAAAGGCTAGCATTTTACACTGCTGCCTCTTGCATTCCGCTAGGATGTGGGAATTCCTAAGAGTCACTCGCCTCGCAGTGGAGTCTTGGATTCTCACCTTTGGCCTTCAAGACACTGGGCTCCCAACACTCCAGTTCTCTTCTGGAATGCTTGGACTCTGAACACAAGTGTAAAGGGGTCACAGTGGGACAGGTGAGCATAATACAAATAAATGTGCAAAACGATTTAAAAAAAAATCAGTTTTCCTTTTCTGGACCTTTACATAAGGAGATATATTTCCGGCTGCATTTTCCTTTGCAGGGAGCCAGAGGAAGGACTCAGTGTAGTGGGATGGTTTTGATTTAGTTGTTTTGGGAAGCACATTATCTTAAATATGTCTTCCACCCATGCAGTATTGCAGAGAGTCGAAAAGTGTGATGGGGTCCTACCCACATGGAGAAAGGAAGCACGAACAGCAACATGACATTAAAAAAGTTTTGGTTATTTAGCAGATCTTAAGCAAATTATTCATACTGCACCCTACTTATAATTATCTCTATTACTGTGTGCCTATAAATTTATACATAAGCTCACAAACACACTATGCATGTGTGTTTGTCTATGTATAAATCTAGTATTTATAACATACATATAAATACATGGAAATACCACAGGGAGTGCTGATGTGAACATATAATATGAATTCTGATATAGTCTTTTATAGCATAGTTCAAAATGTCTTCTAAATAAGCCTGATTATGACACTGGTTCATTGTACAAGGATTTCGCTGAAGCTATGAGCATGATTATATGTCATGAGATCTCAGCTGCTTGCATCTCACATATTTCATTTTGCTCCTCTAACTTCATATCCTGCTTCATGAATTGGTTAGCGTGCTTTCTCTCCTGGACTGCTTGTGTATATATTAGGGTCTCTAGTGGACCAAATCATGAACATCAGAGTCAGAATACCTAGATTAAGTCCCAGAGGTGCCTGGAGAGTACTAGCATGCCATTTAACTTCTCCAACTCTCAATTTCCTCACCTTTAAAAAATGGGAATAATTTGCCAACATATGTGAAAAGTGTTTGGGAAACTATTAAACAATGTATAAATGGAAGCAACTGTCAGCATGAGTTCAGGCTAGAGAATTAGGTTTGTCACCACTCCCGTTGTAGTTTTTAATGAATTTGATGGCAGGCCCTATTCTGTGATCTTTTACACTGCAGAATGAGGATGCCCCTTTTCTAAATATTACAAGAGCATGAGAAGAGGGGATTGTGGAAGAACAGGGATGGAGACTTGAAGACAGTCTGTGGTTCATTCGGTTACTTTAAAAGCAATCTGGGATTCTTTCAATGCGAGACGTCTCTGCGATCAGTACATACTCTTGAGACAACAGAGGGAAAAAATGAATAATAATCAGCAATATAAATAACTATAAAACTTTGCACTTGCATAGAACCTTTCATTTCAAGACCTTGAGGGACTTGTCAGAAGGTAAAGAGAAATTTTTTTTTTCTTTCTTTTTTCCTTCAGAGGAAAACACAACACTGGAAGGGGAAGGGAATGCTCCCATCCTCTCATCTGCTTTAAACAAATCCTTGCTCTAAAACTGCATAGCCCTCCTTGAATTTGATCCCTTAGAGTATTACCTCCTTTGCTCTCTGTTAAAATAAAACAAGTAACTTGAAGCTTCTCCCCCAGAGCAGCTGGCCAGTCGCACAGAATAACAAACCTGTGTAGGTTTTCAGGTCATCACTGATGGAATCTAGAAAAGTTTTGTACAAATCTGCCTCTTCTTACTGCTTCACAGGGTGCCACAGTGTTTTAACAGTACCATGGGCCCTTAATAGGATATATACGTGCAGGTATATATCATGGAGATATGGCTTTCGTTATATTATTATGTGTGTTCTGGAGGGTTTTTGGTCACCGACAAAGAGAACAATTCAACTCCCATGTCTCATAGGCAGCGCAGAACCTGAAAGGACTATGGGCATCGCCTTGTCCAACCCCCTTCACTTGACAGCAGATGCTACTGGATTTCCTTTTGTTCTCTGTTAATGGACACTTTTGCTTTTTTTGAGAACTGGCTTTCAATGTCTAGAATGGAAAATAAGGTGCTTCAGTAACTAAGGGCACAAGCAAAACTTAAACAGAGCAATTGCACCTTCAGAAACAAATATGAAATAAAATGACCTAAGTTGAATTCAAATCACTCCCTTTCAATCTGGCTCGTGTTATAAAGATGTCGAGTTAGCAAAATTCCCCTCACAGAGGGTAGCAAGTTTTCTTGAGGAACAGAAAAATGTTTCTTCCTTGGTATCACTGATCACCCAGATAACTGTAAATTTCTATTTAAATTTACAACCTCTTTTCGCAAAACCCGTGGCTATGCCCAGAAGCACACCTCCAAAGCTTGGCCTGGGCACAGTGTCCCATGGGTATGCTGTGCCTAAGTTTTTGTTTTTACTTTCTTTTAAAATGCAGTGAAAAAAACAAAACAGCATATTGACAATGGAGTACATTTAGAATGAGACCACTCTCCCAACCAGAGCCCAGAGCAAGGTCTTGGCCTGTGTACACTGAACATCAATGCCTGTGATACCCCCAGGGTGGGTGAGGTCTCCTGTCCCTTGGGGGTTGATTTTGCCCTTCTCACAGGGCCACAGTGGGTGCGACATGGTTGAGGATAGCCAGGTTTCAGGGTCCATATTTGTTAAAACCCATCGCCACCATACGACCCAGAGACATTTATACTCAGCTGATGAATTCCATTAGCTTCCCCTAATTATATAAGTTATACCTTTTATGGATCTGCTCTACATATCTGGGGCGCGACGTCTGGAGCGGTAGTTTCTGCACACAAGATATTTTTATCGACAAAGACCATGCACAATTTTGCTTGCACAGTTAAAAGGACGGGTGGGGTGGAGGCTAGGGATTGGAAGGAAGTGCTATCTGAAAAGTTCAATGTAAGAGAAACTTGCCTCCAAATTTAGAGCTTGTCCTATCTTTTCCAAGTCCTTGGCTTTCCCACCTGACCCTGAAATGATTGCTGGACAAGAATCCACCTACTTTCAACTGAACTTGACACAGGCTCAGTGGATAACACTTGGAAAAACAAACCAGTGCCATCACCGTGGCCTACAAAGACAAGACTGTCGGAACGTGTGATGTGCCATCTTACCTCCCGGAAGCCATCTTTTCTCTGTACTACACTCTAGTGTTTCCAGTGATGGGAAAAGTATAGTCCATGGCACAGAGTTCAACAGTCTTTTTACTCCTCAGAAATGTCCTCGGGGAAAGGTGCCGAATACATTGTTCCCAGCTAACAGTCGCTGGGTTTTCTTAAGTTGGGACTGACGCCAGCTGATCTCAATGGTTGTCTTTGTTCTTCCCATACTGCGGTTTATAATAAATCTTCTTTCTCTCTGGTTTTAATCTCCCAAAGATAAAGGCTTCCCAGATTGAACACAAGTTTTCCTTTTTCATACACAGGCTTAAGCCATCCCAAACAATAAGAACAGTAATAATAATAAATAAATAGAAGTGAATCCATAGAAACTCTCGATGTCTGTACAGCAGAAGTGACAAAGTTTAAGTCAAATATTTGTTTTCCCTTTTTTTCATCCACATCAAAGGCAGGAATACAACAAGGCATTGTTAGTTGTGGTGGGCAAACCGGAGTGTCTGCTGATATAACAAATTAGGTTTGTTAAGGCCTTTGTCTATGCAGAGTTCATAGTAATGCAGAAGCCAGACTGATTAAAAAGGAAAGGGTGAGGATTGTGAAGCAGGGAAGACAAAAAATAAAGGAAAGAAAAACAAACAAAAAAAAACCTAGGGAATAAACCAAGGGAGATGGAAAGAGAGAAAGAGATAATGCCAAAAAGAAGTCCATACTGTGTCTGCGGATGGAGAAGTACACATTGCTTCCCTCGGAAAGCTTCTCGGTGTCTTTGTAGTTAATACTGTCAGAGCGAAGAACAGCAGATTGACGGCATCCAGCGGCAGTTAAAAGACGTTCATCCTCTCGGCCCAACTGAGGAGGTGCTTTGGGAAGGATCGGTCTGGGGGAAAGGGCCCTAGCCTAGTATATCCAGGTAGACCGGAGATGCCTTGGCCAAGTTCTGAAGGAGGGTGTGGATGCCCTTGATGTTCTTCCTCATGTGGGGCTCTCGCTGCCAGCACCCCAGCATCAGCTCATAGACTTCCTGGGGGCATGTTCGAGGTCGCTGCAAGACTCGGCCTTGAGTGATGCATTCTATCACCTGGACGGGACGGAGAGCAAAGATAGGGTCAGACCAGAGGAAAAACACTGTTGATACAATAAATGTCAGTACAAAGAGAGGGCTGCTTTAAAGAAACCCACTCAGTGTTTACTTTTTTTCAGAGGCAAGAGAGTGACTGTTCTAGGTTGGTATGTCATGGTTAATTTGATGGGTTTATATTCATTTTTCAAGCCACACTGATTTCACCAAACTGGCAGGGAAATAATTCATCTATATGGAATGCTCCCAAAGCACACCCTGGAATTCCAATGTTTTACTGGCCTGAGATGGGACCAGGGTCACTTTTGTGTCAGGGCACTAACTGGCCAGGGAACCCCAGGGTACAGAAATGAGCAGTCATTTTGGATAATGGAATTGGATAAAAGACAGACGTGGGCCTGAAGAAGTGAGGTTCTTGACCAAGAAGTGATGCCTCAAATATAGACATATTTGCAAACAGATTAGAAAAGGAAAATAAAATGTTTGTGTTTTTCACTAGAAGTAAATGTTCTAGTGAAATATGCAAAAAGGAGAGAAGCTTGAAACCTTATTGGAATAATACCAAAAAGCTAGCTGGACTCTAGGAGTACCGAAATGCCACATCTGCTATCAATTTACTAGATGAACAGCATGAAATGACTACCTGGTCCCAATGCCAGAGAATCACAGGTGCGTCAGCAAATGCTGTGCTTTTCTCTTTCTAGAACTCTTAAATTTGGAGAGTGACTATACTTTGGCGATGAAATTTAGGTACATGGCAGGCCGTTTGGGAGGTGCTTCTCCCAACAAAGCCACATGAGAGCGTGTCCTGACTTCCAGCCTGGGGATGCCTCTCTGTGTCAGCTCTCTAGGGGTCTTGGTGCCACCCGCCACTCACCTCATTGTTCGACAGCTGGTACCAGGGCTGTTTGCCGTACGTGAAGATCTCCCACAACACGACCCCCAGGCTCCAGACGTCACTTTCAGTGGTGAACTTCCTGTACATGATGCTCTCTGGAGGCATCCAGCGAATGGGCAGCATCGTGTGGCCACCGACCTGGCAGAAAAGGGGTAAACAAGGTGGCATCAGTTCCCACCATCAGGAGAAAAGGTTTGGAAGGGGGACATTTTTTTCCCTTTCCTTTATTTGTATTTATTAATTTTAATTGTTTATAAAACATAAGGGAAAGATGATTGGTTTATAATCTCAAGCAACAGAGAGAGCAAAGAGTGGTAAAGGATTTTTCTCACATTTTTTCAATTCTCTCTTTCTCACAACCAGACAGGAGCAGAGATGGTGATTGGGTGGATATTCATCCTGTATAAAACACAGACACACCTACTTTCTGGTATGAGGATGACTTGATCTTGTAATTAACAAGATAACTTTGGTCAGGATAACAAGTAGAGAGTTTTGCATCCAAAATGACCCACCATGGGACTCTGCTTCCTTAGCAAGGCCGGAGCTTCCTTCCACTTTAAAGTGTCAGGAGAGCGCACAGAGCTGGCTCGAACATGCTTACCACAACCCAGCAATGGGCAGGGCAGAAATGATTATTCACATTTTACAGAAGGGGAAACTGAGTTTCAGGTTGCTATGGACACAAAGAAGTCCAGTCTTTGGAATTTCATCTACTACAGGAAACTTCAACTGAGCTTATTTACAAAAGTAAATAAGTAGGAGGAGCTTCAAGATGGCGGAAGAGTAAGACGCAGGGATCACCTTCCTCCCCACAAATACATCAGAACTACATCTACACGTGGAACAACTCCTACAGAACACCTACTGAACGCTGGCAGGAGACCTCAGACCTCCCAAAAGGCAAGAAACTCCCCACGTACCCGTGTAGGGCAAAAGAAAAAACAGAGATAAAAGAATAGGGTGCTTCCCTGGTGGCGCGGTGGTTGAGAGTCCGCCTGCCGATGCAGGGGACACGGGTTCGTGCCCCGGTCCGGGAGGATCCCACGTGCCGCGGAGCGGTTGGGCCCGTGAGCCATGGCCGCTGGGCCTGCGCGTCCGGAGCCTGTGCTCCGCAACGGGAGAGGCCACAACAGTGAGAGGCCCGCGTACCACAAAAGCGCCGACCGGCACTCGCTCACCCGCCGGGGCGGGCGGGGCTGGGAGCTGAGGCTTGGGCTTCGGTTGGATCCCAGGGAGAGGACTGGCTGTGTGAACACAGCCTGAAGGGGTTAGTGCACCACAGCTATCCGGGAGGGAGTCCAGGAAGAGGTCTGGAGCTGCCAAAGAAGCAAGAGACTTTTTCTTGCTTCTTTGTTTCCTGGTGCGCGAGGAGAGGGGATTCAGAGCACCGCTTAAAGGAGCTCCAGAGACGGGCACGAGCCGCGGGTATCAGCGCAGACCCCAGAGACGGGCATGAGACGCTAAGGCTACTGCTGCCGCCACCAAGAAGCCTGTGCAAGAGCACAGGTCACTACCCACACCTCCCCTCCCACTTTTTCTTGCTTCTTTGTTTCCTGGTGCGCGAGGAGAGGGGATTCAGAGCACCGCTTAAAGGAGCTCCAGAGACGGGCACGAGCCGCGGGTAACAGCGCGGACCCCAGAGACAGGCATGAGACGCTAAGGCTGCTGCAGCCACCAAGAGGCCTGTGTGCAAGCACAGGTCACTATCCACACCTCCCCTCAGGAGCCTGTGCAGCCCGCCACTGCCAGGGTCCCGGGATCCAGGGACAACTTCCCCGGGAGAACACACGGCGCGCCACAGGCTGGTGCAACATCATGCAGGCCTCTGCCGCCGCAGGCCCGCCTCGCATCCGCACCCCTCCCTCCATGCGGCCTGAGTGAGGCAGATGCCCCGAATCAGCAGCTCCTTTAACCCCGTCCTGTCTGAGTGAAGAACAGACGCCCTCAGGCGACCTACACGCAGAGGCGGGGCCAAATCCAAAGCTGAGCCCCGGGAACTGTGCGAACAAAGAAGAGAAAGGGAAATCTCTCCCAGCAGCCTCAGAACAGCGGATGAAATCTCCACAGTCAACTTGATGTACCCGCATCTGTGGAATACCTGAATAGACAACGAATCATCCCAAATTGAGGAGGTGGACTGTGGGAGCAATGATATATATATTTTTTTCCCTTTTTGTGAGTGTATGCGTATGCTTCTGTGTGTGATTTTGTCTGTATAGCTGGGCTTTTACCATTTGTCAAGGGTTCTGTGTGTCCGGGTTTTGGGGGTTTTTTTTAGTGAAGTTTTCAGTACTTGTTATCATTGGTGGGTTTGTATTTTGCTTTGGCTGTTCTCTTCTTTCTTTTTTTTTAATTACTTAAAAAAAATTTAATAATTATTTTTTGTTTTTTATTTTAATAACTTTTTACTTTAATTTTACCTCTTTCTTTCTTTCTTTCTCTCTTTCTTTCTTTCTCTCCCCCTCTCTCTTTCTTTTCTTTCTTTCTTTCTCTCTTTCTTTCTTTCTTTTCTTTCTTTCTCTCTCTCTCTTTCTTTCTCTTTCTCCCTCCCTTTTATTCTGAGCCGTGTGGATGACAGGCTCTTGGTGCTCCAGCTAGGCGTCAGGGCTGTGCCTCTAAGGCGGGAGAGCCAAGTTCAGGACATTGGTCCACCAGAGACCTCCCAGCTCCACGTAATATCAAAGGGTGAAAATCTCCCAGAGATTTCCATCTCAACGCCAAGAAACAGCTCCACTCAACGACCAGCAAGCTACACTGCTGGACACCCTATGCCAAACAACTAGCAAGACAGGAATACAACCCCACCCATTAGCAGAGAGTCTGCCTTAACTCATAATAAGGTCACATACACTCCAAAACACATCACCAGAGGTAGATCTGCCCACCAGAAAGACAAGATCCAGCCTCATCCACCAGAACACAGGCACCACTCCCCTCCACCAGGAAGCCTACACAACCCACTGATCTAACCTTAGCCACTGGGGGCAGACACCAAAAACAATGGGAACTACGAACGTGCCACCCGCGAAAAGGAGATCCCAAACCCAGTAAGTTAAGCAAAATGTGAAGACAAAGAAAGATGAAGGAGCAAGGTAAAAACCCACCACACATAACAAATGAAGTGGAAATAGGCAGTCTACCTGAAAAAGCACTCAGAATAATGATAGTAAAGATGATCCAAAATCTTGGAAATAGAATGGACAAAATACAAGAAACGTTTAACAAGGACTTAGAAGAACTAACGAGCAAAGAAACAATCATGAACAACACAATAAATGAAATTAAAAATTCTCTAGAAGGGATCAATAGCAGAATAACTGAGGCAGAAGAACAGATAAGTGTCCTGGAAGATAAAATAGTGGAAATAACTTACTGCAGAGCAGAATAAAGAAAAAACAATGAAAAGAACTGAGGACAGTCTCAGAGATCTCTGGGACAATATTAAATGCACCAACATTTGAATTATAGGGGGTCCCAGAAGAAGAAGAGAAAAAGAAAGGGACTGAGAAAATATTTGAAGAGATTATAGTTGAAAACTTGCCTAGTATGGGAAAGGAAATAATCAAGTCCAGGAAGCACAGAGAGTCCCATACAGGATAAATCCAAGGAGAAACATGCCAAGACACATATTAATCAATGTATCAAAAATTAAATACAAACGAAAAATGTTAAAAGGAGCAAGGGAAAACAACAAATAACATGCAAGGGAATCCCAATAAGGTTAACAGCTGATCTTTCAGCAGAAACTCGGCAAGCCAGAAGGGAGTGGCAGGACATATTTAAAGTGATGAAAGGGAAAAACCTACAACCAAGATTACTCTACCCAGCAAGGATCTCATTCAGATTTGATGGAGAAATTAAAACCTTTACAGACAAGTAAAAGCTAAGACAATTCAGCACCACCAAACCAGCTTTACAACAAATGCTAAAGGAACTCCTCTAGGCAGGAAACACAAGAGAAGGAAAAGACATACAATAACAAACCCAAAACATTTAAGAAAATGGTAATAGGAACATACATATCGATAATTACCTTAAATGTAAATGGATTAAATGCTCCAACCAAAAAAAAAAAAATAGACTGGCTGAATGGATACAAAAGAAGACCCATAGATATGCTGTCCACAAGAGACCCACATCAGATGTAGGGACACATACAGCCTGAGTGAGGAGATGGAAAAGGATATTCCATGCAAATGGAAATCAAAAGAAAGCTGGAGTAGCAATTCTCATATCACACGAAATAGACTTTAAAACAAAGACAAGAGACAAAGAAGGACACTACATAATGATCAAGGGATATATCCAAGAAGAAGATATAACAATTGTAAATATTTATGCACCCAACATAGGAGCACCTCAATACATAAGGCAAATGCTAATAGCCATTAAAAGGGAAATCGGCAGTACCACAGTCATAGTAGGGGACTTTAACACCCCACTTTCACCAATGGACAGATCATCCACAATGAAAATAAATAAGGAAACACAAGTTTTAAATGATACATTAAACAAAATGGACTTAATTGATATTTATAGGACACTCCATCCAAAAACAACAGAACACACCTTCTTCTCAAGTGCTCATGGAACATTCTCCAGGATAGATCATATCTTGGGTTACAAGTCAAGCCTTGGTAAAATTAAGAAAATTGAAATCGTATCAAGTAACTTTTCTGACCACAAAGCTATGAGACTAGATATCAATTACAGGAAAAAATCTGTAAAAAATACAAACACATGGAGGATACACAATACACTACTTAATAACCAAGAGATCACTGAAGAAATCAAAAAGGAAATCAGAAAAAACCTAGAAACAGATGACAATGAAAACACGACGACCCAAAATCTATGGAATGCAGCAAAAGCACTTTTAAGAGGGAAGTTTATAGCAATACAATCCTACCTTAAGAAACAAGAAACATCTCAAATAAACAACCTAACCTTACACCTAAAGCAATTAGAGAAAGAAGAACAAAAAATACCCCAAAGTTAGCAGAAGGAAAGAAATCATAAAGATCAGATGAGAAATAAATGAAACAGAAATGAGGGAGGGATTCCCTGGTGGCGCAGTGGTTGAGAGTCCGCCTGCCGATGCAGGGGACGTGGGTTCGTGCCCCGGTCTGGGAGGA